GTGTTCAAAAGCTGCGAGGTTTGGGGTCTAGGTTTTGACACCGGAGCCAGGTGAAAACGGTGATAAAAAGTCAATGGCACTGCATGGAATTTTCTTTGGATCTTGGCTATCAACCAAGCTTTGGATAAACGAATTTTCTAATTGAGTGCAAAAGCTTTTCAATTCCAGACAACCAGGTGGCCGAGTGGTTAGCGTGCCTGACTGTGGTGCCGATGGTTGCGGGTTCGAATCTCACTCAGGGCATGGATGTTTCTTTCTATCTCTTTAACAATACTATTTTTAAATATAAAAGATGGGGTTATCCGATAAAATCTACCCGATTTAATTATATTCGAAACTGGGAAAAATGGCATATTATACACTCATTGTAAAATAACAAATGAGACAAGCACACAAGGGCTTAATAACAAAACAAAACTTTTAATAACAAGGAGCAAATAATTTTACATCCGCCGTTGGCGGTTTCCAGAAAAGTTATAGAATAATAATAATGGTAGTTGAAAATATTTTCCTCAGATGGCGCTAGCTGTATCGCAACATCCTCCCCCCCGTTTTGAGAAGGCTGTGACCAACTCAAAACGAGGTTAAAAATCTTTTGGGTACTTTAATCGAACGTCCAAAGCGGGTAACATATATATATATATAATTGGCGTTGATCTGCTCACCCAATTCTGAGTTTACGACTATCAATGTTTAACTCTTCAGGCTTGTAATTTTGAATCCAACCCAGCAGACTAGAGAACTCTTGGATCAACCAGTGGGACAAATTAGACTTTTTGATGGAACTAACCCACATTTTCTTTACATGGAGAGAAAAACCTAGAAAACCTCCCATGGTTAGCCGGAAGACAAAGGGGCTCTTACCTATGATCCATCTACCGCTGAGGATATTTTACATCAGCACTCTGGTCGATTCGAGTCGGGATTAGAACTCACATCAACCAGCCAGCGCTGAGATTTGAACTTGGGTTACATCATTAGGAAATGAACACTCTATTCCCTGAGCCCCGGGGGCTCTAACATTATTTATAGGGTACTACGTTAATCACCACTCGTAATTAATATTCTCAGAATCCTTGTCAAAAATGAAGTCAAATAGTACATTCCACTGATAATGCCCTATAAATTACAAGACAATATTTTTTAAACTATTTCACATGGATGTAGTATTTTTTTTTTTAATTATTTGGATGATCTAGAAAACAACTAAAACAAGAAAAATAAACTCAATTTAAAAAAATCGTATATATTTTTTATTTTCTTCAAATATATGCGTGTACAATGGACTCCAGGAAAGATTATTTGAAGAGCGATGTTTTATGCCAAAACGGAAAAAGTTTTACTATTCAAAATTAATTTTTTTTAAAAGAAAAGATTAGCCATATATTTAATGAAAGTATATAGTTTTAAATTTCTTTATTTCGCCAATATAAGTTAAAGATAAATAAATGATAAAAAGAAATGGAACTTTTTGAATGGCTGGAAAAAACTGAGTAAAGAAAAACATCAAAAATAACGAAAACATTTCCTTTACCATAATAAGATAAATTTTCTCAGAGCGCATATACTCAAAATTTGTCTCCTTCATTCATAGCAACTAATTAAATTCCATTAACTACGCTAGTGTAGAACTTTATCGAAAAATCCATGTCGATGTCAAAGCTATGTCGATATAATTTCGATATATAATATAGTATCCTAGGTCAATTATAAATTGAGAAGTAATATTTTATTTTATTTTCTGACAACATATATTCCATATTTCTACTCTTAGACTTTCTCCTCGGAAGTTTGGCATTTCTGCACACAGAGTATGATTCGAGTGCAGGCCATGTTTTCAGTGTTTAAGTCAAATGAAAATTCTACCAAACAGAAAGTGCACCCTATTTTGAACAATACTATTTTTAAATATAAAAGATGGGGTTATCCGATAAAATCTACCCGATTTAATTATATTCGAAACTGGGAAAAATGGCATATTATACATTGTAAAATAACAAATGAGACAAGCACACAAGGGCTTAATAACTAAACAAACTTTTAATAACAAAGAATAAATACTTTTACATCCGCCGTTGGCGGTTTCCGGAAAAATTAGAGAATAATAATAATGGAAGTTGAAAATATTCTCCTCAGATGGCACTAGCTGTATCGCAACATCCTCCCCTCCCCCCGTTTTGAGAAGGCTGTGACCAACTCAAAACGAGGTTAAAAATCTTTTCGGCACTTTAATCGAACGTCCATAGCGGGTAACTTGGGCAGAAGACTGTTCAGGTTTTACATCAGCAGGAACAGAAGGCAACATCTTATCAGCATTTTGGTCTTTCATATTCTGATTAGCTGCTAAAGAAATGGGTGTTTTGGCCCTTTTCTGTAAAGGCAATTTAATTTGTTAGCAGAAGGGAGTTCTAAAGAATAAATTCTTTGAATGGGCCTCAACATTTCTCCATTTTGAGCTTTCAGTCTTACAGTTCGAACTTTCCCATCTTTACCAGGGATAAGCTCTATCACCCTGGCTAATGGCCAATTCAAACGCTTCTTAAAGTCATCGCCAATGAGAACGACCTCACCAACCGAAATATCAATATTTTTGCCCTTTAAATTTTGTTTTAAAATCAACTGTCCCAAGTACTCCTTTCGGAAACGTTTTCTTAAGGATTCTATAAGCTGAATTCTATATCGAATTCGCTTGCGACAATGCTGAGCATCGACCATATCGATATCAATTACTTTAGTTTCTGAGTTATCTAAAAGAAACATAGCTGGTGTAAGAGGTTTTAAATCGGTTGAGTCTTCGGACAGATAGGTGAGCGGTCTAGAGTTCATAATAGACTTGATGTCGCATAATACCGTTTGCAACTCTTCATAGGTCAAAACAGCTCCTCCTAGCGTGCGTTTCAAAAGATCTTTAAGTGTCCGAATCAGCCGTTCCCAAAAACCTCCCCACCAGGCTGCTGACGGAGGGTTAAATTTCCAGTTTATATGGTGTAACTCTGCCTCTCTCAAAACTTTATCCCAATCAATTTCATTCAAATCATTGTATGCCCCCTTGAAGTTAGTGCCATTGTCTGAATACATTTTTCTGGGACGACCTCTTCTGGCGACAAAACGTCGAAAAGCCAAAAGAAATGAATCTGTACTTAAAGAGGTCACTAACTCCAAGTGGACAGCGTGGTATATTGCGCAAGTAAACAAAACAACCCATGTTTTGCTACCTTTCTTGATGTAGAGGAGTCCCGCAAGATCCACTCCTACAACCTCAAAAACATATGCATCCTTCACACGGTCCTCGGGAAGAGAAACAGGCTCGGTGAAATGAACTTTAGCGGTATACCTTTTGCACTTTATACAGCTCTTTACAATATTGCGAATTGCTTTTCTACCTCTCACAATCCAAAATTTTTCGCGAATGATGCTCAACAATATTTGAGTACCAGCATGATAGTTAACACAATGATAATACTCGATTAATCTCTGTGTAAAAATACACTTTTCAGGCAAAATTATAGGAGATTTAAAATAAGGGGTGTCGATTCTTTCAGTTATGCGAGTTTTAACTCTGATCATACCCTCTGAATCTTTGTAAGCATTATATACAGGTATTTCATTAGGAAAAGGTAAAAACTTTGATTGAACAATGTTGATTAAACTCTTTTCCGCTGATTCAGTTTCTGTTAGGGTCAAGTTGCCTACAATTCTAGATTTCTTTTGAACGCGACAATTGTTAACGAAGCGCAATACCCAAGCAACATGATTATTGATGGATAGCTAGAAAACTGTTTTGCGTACCACGGTATTTCCTCCTCAACCGAATTAAAATTACTAAGCACTACCTTTCTTCTCTCTAAATCTACTTCCTTTTCGCAAAAAATCCCATTGCAAGGCCAGTTACTTGAAGTTTCTAACAACCATGACGGTCCTTGCCAACTTTTTGGGAGAACATCCACGTGAAACGAGGTCAGCAGGATTAATATCTCCCGTGACATGCCGCCAATCATTAGGTGAAGTAATTTGCCTAATCTCTTTAACTCGATTAGAAACGAAAATGGACCACTCCCCCTGCTCTTTTATCCACCACAACGCAACCATTGAGTCGCACCAAAAATACGTTTTCATAGTAGGGATATCAAGAGCTAAACGAATGGAAAGAGCCATTCTTGCTCCGATACAACAAGACATAAGTTCGAGTTTAGGAATAGACATTTCTTTTACGGGTGCGACTCTAGCTTTAGCGCGTAATAATAGAATTTTAACATTACCAGAATTTTCAGTTTTCATAAATACACATGCACCGTATGAAGTTTTGCACGCATCTACAAATACATGTAATTCCGAAGAATCATTAATTTCGACAAAACGAGGTATTTTGATGTGCTCAAAAAAGGATATTTCACCTATCCACGTAGAAAATTCTTTATTCATTTCTGGCGGTATTAAGGAATCCCAACTAAGCTTATCTTTCCACATCTTCTGCAACAATAATTTAGGCTGCAAAGTACTTGGACACAATGTACCTATTGGGTCGAAAAACCGCTGCACATACGATAATACAGTTCTTTTTGTAAATGTTTCGTTACGATCTAAATCATTAGTAAAGTTGCATCGTAAAGTATCTCGATCCAAATTCCACTTAATACCCAGTAAGGAAGTATCACCAGAAGACTTGGATAAAAGAGGATTTGCTATATTACCTTCCCAACCTCACAAATTAAAACAAGCTGTTTTCATTAATTTTTTAGTCTTAATAATAAAGTTTTCTAATTCTGTGACAGTATTAACTCCCGTGACGCAATTGTCGACGTAAAAAGCATGTCGGAGCTTGGGAACAACATCGGAAAATTCATCGGAAGCGTTCTCCAAGTGATTACTTAAAGAAGCCATTAGTAAAAAGGGACTCGTGGTCACACCAAACACAACTCTACAGTGTCTATAAGCAATGGGATCACCTGTCTCAGATGGAAAGAAAAATCGTAAAAAATCTCGGTGCTGAGGGGAGATGCTTAGCTGCAAAAAGGCCTTTTCTATATCAGAAGAAAGACCTATTGGAAATAATCTAAACCTGTCAATAATATCAGGAATCAATTCGATCAAATTTGGGCCTTTGACCAAACAGTCATTTAAAGATGGTTAATTGCACTGTTTGGCTGAGGCATCAAATACTGGACGCAATTTAAATGTCTCGCTCGATTGTTTGATGACAGGACGATGGGGCAAATAATGGCAAGGTTCATTAATTTCACTTTCAGGAACCTTTTCTATAATATTTATCTCCGGCCAGTTTTTAAAAACATTGATATAATCATTCAAATAACCATTTGCTAAAGAGCGTTTACACATATTCAAGTGACGCTTTAAAGTTAACTGTTTGTTATCAAGCAAAGTAGTTTCACTTTTAAATGGAAGTAAAAGTTCATATCTTCCATTCGGAAGAATAGTTAAGTTGTTATCTTTATACTGCTCAATAGCTTCCGAAAACATTACTCTCTGTTTCGAATTATCATATGGGTCTCTGATACATATTACATCGAGATCCCAAAGCTTATTTACATTTAAAGTTACTGAATGCAATACACATACATTATCACATAGGATACAATTGGAATCAACAGATATTGACCCACCATTATTTATATCTGCATAAACATTATTTATTTTATCAGTAAGAGTATTACCAAGTTTTGTCTGAACAATCATTAAACCTGATTTTAATGCTATTGATTTACCAGTAAACAATTTAGATGTAATGTCTGCTCCAAGAAGCAGATCTATTGCAGAATCATTAAAATTAACATCGTGATTATCTATGTTTCTTTGTTGCAATTCTTTTAGAGTAAAAGCATCGTTAGTTCTAGGAACAAAACCACAAATTTTCTCTTTAGAGAGGACTTCTAGTTTTAAACAAAAAGTGTTTTCCAAATTATAAACTTTAATCATGAACCACTCATGGTCTTTAGGTATAGTTTCGTTACCTCCAAATAAACCATGAATAAGCGTTTGTTTACCCTTGGGTTTTAAACACAATTTCTTAACAATTTTATTACTCAAATATGAGCGCTACGAGCCAGTATCTAAAATGGCCCGTATATTACACTCACTTTTCTTATTTTTAACTTTTACTATTAGAGTCATAAGAAAAACAGTTTTAAAATCATAATCAGGGGCACTGCTATTGGCTAAAGATGACACTTCCTCAGTTTTAGGTTCATTGTTCTTCATTTCTCGATCAGGACACATCAAAATAAAATGATTTTTATTACAAATAATGCATCTAATCTTCATCCTACATGTACGAGCAGTATGTCCCAATTTAAGACAGGAGACGCAAGCTTTTTTGTTGTAAATTACCTTTCTCCTTTCTTCTAAACTTAGCTTTCGAGCAAAATAGCAATCTTGGGAAAGGTGCTTTTTCCCGCAAAAGAGACAGATAAAATTGATCTTACCTGTATTAACATGCGTAGTGCTTACCAATGCAGCTGTGGTAGATAAATCCATTTTCTCTGCAACAGGCTCTTTCATCTTAGTAGAAGTTCCAAATCCAGCCCGAGCGAGGACGACAAGCTCCTCACCCTTCACCTCTTGCTGTAAAAAGTTCATTAATTTTTGCAAAGATCTTTCCCCTTGGTCAGAAGAACGACTTCTTTCGTATGCAATCAAGACAGTCTCCGGTAAAGAAGATTCTACTAGTGGCATTAGAAAATCTCCGTAATTGCTCTGTGTACGCCCTAAGCTTTCCAAGGCCCGTATCTTTCCTTCCAATTCATCATACAGTGCAGGTAAATCAGTTTTGGATCGACCAGATATAGCATTTTTCATTACAAGTGATAATAAGTCCCGCACATAAACTTGCACAAGTAAATCTGTCCGTCCGAAACGCTCTTTTAATTGTTCAATGGCTTTATCATAGTTCTTAGCCATTGCAGGGAAGCTGCCGACGACTCGGGCCGCCTTTGACTGCGGCTCCAAAGACGGCAACAAATGCTGAAACTTATCCTCCTTCGACAGTGTTTCGTCGGAATGAATTTTTTCATATTGGCTCCAAAAGCCTAAGAAATCTTTTAATTCACCACTAAATTTACGTAGCTCAATCTGCGGGAGTTTATATTTTCTTTAAACCCCATGTTTTATTTAAATGTTCAGTCAATTTGGAACAAATTTCGTGACATTTATCTCGATATTCTTCAGCTTTTTCAAAATCAGACTCATATTCGGTTTCAGCATTTTCCGAGAGAAGAATACAATTAGAAATTTCTTCTTGGCAGTTCGCCAACCGCTCGAATTTGTCCTTCAACTGGAGCTCGTAAATCGAAAGCGTTTTTATATTACTTTCCTTGGTATCCAATTCAGCAACATTGAGCACGTCTTCAATATTTTTCACACATAGCGAAAAAGAAGTTCTTAGTCCTTTTTTTTCGCTTTTAATTAAATTAGTTCCATATGAGCACAGTTCAGAAAAATTTAGTCTCGAAATTAATATATCAAATATCGGGCTCCACGCTGGGCGCCAGTTATTTAACAATACTATTTTTAAATATAAAAGATGGGGTTATCCGATAAAATCTACCCGATTTAATTATATTCGAAACTGGGGAAAATGGCATATTATACACTCATTGTAAAATAACAAATGAGACAAGCACACAAGGGCTTAATAACAAAACAAACTTTTAATAACAAAGAGTAAATAATTTTACATACGCCGTTGGCGGTTTCCAGAAAAATTAGAGAATAATAATAATGGAAGTTGAAAATATTTTGGATAAAAAGACATCTGTAAGTAAAAGTGAAGTTGAATAAAGTTAGAAGATTGCAAAAATTCCGCCAATATCTAATTTCTTCTTGACAAATAGGGCTACTAAACCATTTGAACAATATTGCTTTGCTTTGTTTGTTTGAACAATATAATTGTTGTGCTTTCGAGAAACAGTTATTTAATAGAGAGATTTCACTCATTCCTGTACGTTCACTTTCGTGCAGGGACCGATCAAGACAAATTCGGGCCCAAGGGCCACCAAATTCTCCGGGCCCCTTACAAAATGTTTTGAAATTAAATTACTAAAGTTTACATAATATTTTGAGTAATTAGTCCTAACAATAGAAAGGAATCTATTGAACTGCGTGATTCCAGATAAGCATTCTAAGAAAATTTGAAAGCAGACAATTGAAGATTATTTTTCTAAGATAAAGTTTACGCATCCGTAAATTAAAGCAAAATATAAAACAACAAAACAACGTTATGTCAAAATGAAAATAGTTTGGTGACCACAAACAATTGGAATCAGTAATTTTTGCTAAAAGTCTCTGATTAGCTGAATTATTTTTTTTATTGTAAGCTGTAATTATTTTTTACTAGCCGCCTAAGGCGGCCAGCTGTCCGCCACGATAAAGGTTTCCACAAATAAAGCTTTTTGAAACATAGCAGGAAATCTGAAGATTAGTGGACAATTAAAGTGTTTCTGTCCTGCAATTTTGTCTTCATATCCAGTTCTGCTGCAGATGTGTTATAGCTCTTGAGGATGTTTGAAGATGTAACTTTGCTATGGTAACCTAACCTATAATATAACTATCAG